TGAGGCAAAACAATTTTATAATGGGAGCAAGTAGGAGTGAGACAATTATTAATAAGCAAAAGCATATAACTAGATTAAGTACTAGAACATTTTTTAAAACGTTAAGTGTCACAGATTATAAAAATGGCTCCAATGATCGTTCTGCCTCCATGTGCTCCTCCGAAATGCACTCCCCAATCAAGAGGTGGCATCTGTCCCCTCCCTTTGACACTGGGTGCCTTTGTAACTATCTCAACTAATAGATTATGGAAAAGTAATGCTATAAAATTTATAAGGCCTGGTTATAAAAGGTATACCAAAATTGCCTGCCTCTTGGAACCCTCACCTTTGCAGCTCTGAGTCACCTTTTACGTCTAAGGCTGTGAGGAAGTCCAAACTAGCCCACACAGAGACCACATGGAGAGGCTCTGGGAACACATGAAGAAAGAGAGGGGCCCAGCAAGGCTCCGGCTGCCCCAGCCTTCTAGTTCCTGCTGCTCTAGCTCTGACCACCATCTCTGAGACACCTCTAGCCAGAAGTGCCCAGTTGAGCTATTCCTGAATTCTTGATCCACAGAAACCATAAGCAAAAACAAATGTTGTTATTGTTTTAAGCCACTACATTTTAGAACTATTTGTTATGCAGGTAATCAAAAGAACCAGCATTAATTCTACTGACTTTCGGGGATATGTAGCAATCGCACATATTTAAATTCACATGTGCACACACATTTGTGCAAACACACAGCTAAAATATTTGCCACAAGCTACCTAGTCAATGAGAAAACATTGGACTTAGTGAAGCAATCTGAAGCATCTATGGTTCATAACATTAAATGCTGGGAACAAAATGAGGGAGAAAATATCACATGCTTGCTTTCTATTTTCTTGAAGAGTTAACATTTTCTATGTGGATATAGCTTTCATAGCACAATTTTATCCCCATTTAACTTTCAATAACCATCTGAAGTCATTTACTAAAGAACTTAGTGTCTTTATCTCTTCTCTAAAACCAAATATTGAACACACAGGAATTATTATTTGACATGTAAGAAATTCAAATAAGAAATTCACATGCTCAAATAAGTTGAAAAACAAAACAAGCCTAGTACATTTAGAAACTATTGCTAAAGAAAATACACTCTTAAACCCAAGCCTTTTTAGAAGAAAGCAGCGCTAGTGTGTGCTCCTGGACTACCAATTCAGGAGAAAATAAAATGAAATGGAGACTTCACCAACGACTAGTCTGGGTGACTTCAACTGCCTAGTTTCTAACGTTGACAGCGATAATTAACCAGAGCCACCTCTATTATAGAAATAACATGTGGAAAGTGTAAGAATACCGAGTAGGACAGCGATTAAGTGAGAGTTAGTTAATCTTAGTGTGTAGAAAAGAGTGTACTAAGCAGAGAATTGAGAATTCCAAGTCAGCCTCCTTTGAAGAGAGTTTGGGTTAAATCCTGCTCCCTTCCCCAACCCATCTGAGTAAAAGAACTCCTGTAACTCCATGAAATGGGCACTGTGGTCTTGGCAAATCTCATCAGGATCCTCTTTGGGGAGATGGCAGAGGCCAACTCATCTAGGGTATAATGGATGAGACTCGTACTGGAACACTTCCCAGATGATAAAATTACCCTGCCAGTTAACTGCGCCTCATAAGCAAAAGAATTTGGGGGTTCTGTGGGTGTGTTCATGCTTTTTCTCTTTCTTTTTCTCTCTTTCTTTTTCTCTCTCTCCGTCTCTCTCTCTCTCTCTCTCTCTCTCTCTCTCACACACACACACACACACACACACAAAATCAACATCTTTGCTAAATTACCCCCTTCCTTGCCTCTTCCCCCCACACCGATCCCCCTCAAAAAGAGCAGAGCTAGGAAGAGAAGCCAGAAAGGGACTAGGTAGCAGAAGCTGCAGCCTCCTGCACCTCATCAACGTAAATCTAAACCTTAAACTTCAATCCAGTAACTGTGCTTTCATTATCAATAAAGAATTAATTGTATCACACATTAAAAGGAGGGTGGGGAAAAGTTACACATTCCTTTTTGCTTACATTGTACTTAGGCCATATTTTTAAGTGTTAGACTGACTTGTAAATAATTGTTACAGTCTTTTAGGTATATTTCTTTCTATTTTTATAGAGAAAATCTATTTCTAGCCCTTGCTGACATGTCAAGACTTGTGACCCACCCATTCCAACAGTTACAAATTAAACAGGGAGCAAATATTTATAACTGAGACTTTGCATATGACATACATAAACATACAGTGTTGTGTAAGTTTAATGTATTCTTATTTCTAAATAAATGACGTTCACTTTAATCACTCATGTGAAGGAAAATGTTTAAAATCAGATGGTTAAATTCAAGATGAATGTAAAACTCTAGTTCACTTTTTTAAATTATTGTATTTATAATGATTTAAATAGCTTATTACAAAGAGCCACATTCCAAAGTTGCAGTAAACCTATCTATTTTTATAAACATGTTTTCTTTCTGCTGTTATGGTTGTTTGTTCCATTGAAGTGAGAGGCTATCTGGACTCATTTCAAATGTTCTTATATTATATGTCACTCTAAGGAAAACTTTTTCCAGATAAGTTGTAAAGAACATGTTTTTTTTAATGGCAGGTATTTTATTGTCTCTTGCCATTTAGATTATAGGTGTGGGATCCTGTTTTATATGGCACCCTGCTACCGTGGAACTTTTCTTTTAGCTGCTTTAGTTGGAAAGTTGCTGCCAAATAAAACAGTAGGAGGAAAACCGTAAAAAAGCTTTAAAATGCTAAAAAAAGAAATAAGTGAACAAGCAGCAATCTAAACATAAACTGGAGGACTATTCCCATGACCTATGTTTGCCGGAAAGAAATAGAAGAGGGGGCAGAGAATTAACAGAATTCCAATTTAGAGCCATAATGAACGTCTTTAGAAGAAGCAGAAATTACTTTAGACAATTACATATAAGCTGTTGCACTAAAACTGTTCTGTCACAAATCTCAGACATTATTTTAAGTTAGATGAGTCTGACATCATAAAATTTTGTTCAAAAATGAGAGAGAATGATAGAAAATTTCAAAAGAGAAATGAACGTTATGAATCAGTTCTGCTGACTTAAGGCCTTTCTCGTTAGCGTAAAAACAATGAAATCAGCAGAGTTACATGATGAGATAACCGGCAACTACAACAATAAAAAATGCTCTGCTTAGGCAAGCTCAGTTAATTCTAAAACACAAACACAACTATGGAAAATCAAATGGCAAAAATGGAATATTCTCAATATCGCCCTTGGTCAACACTCGATATGTTATGTAGTCAGTGACCAGTATAACTTTGGAACATGCATCTCTTAATATCTTTGATTCAGGCACACTGCTCTTTTACAGATATGTGATTTATTTAAAATACTTTCTTTTTTGGTTTGGAATGCATGTAACCAGATGAGTATTAAAAGTGAAATATGTAACATACTCTTTAGTACTGAAGTACTAGTATCTTTTTTTGTGTGTGTGTGAGGAAGATCGGCCCTGAGCTAACATCTGCCAATCCTCCTCTTTTTTTTTTGCTAAGGAAGACTGGCCCTGGGCTAACATCCATGCCCATCTTCCTCTACTTTATATGGGACACTGCCACAGCATGGCCTGACAAGTAGCGCATCGGTGCGTGCCCGGGATTCGAACTGGCGAACACTGGGCCGCCGCAGCGGAGCACGCGCACTTAACCGCTTGTACCACCAGGCCAGCCCCTGAATACTAGTATCTTTAATTATTCAGATTAGGTCCAATCAAATATTTAAACCAAACACATATCTCAATCTTTAAGAAAAAGACTGTTTATCAGAGAGAAGACAGTTAACTTGTGTGGAGCCCAGGATAAGTCAGGCCATCTGTCAGTCAGGCATTCACTTAGATAACACTACTGAGCAGTGGTCAGGAGCCAGAGGCTCTGGTCTCACACCAAGACCCATTCACGGGCCTTACTGCCCCGAACTCTCCCATACTGCAGGCATCACTGCTGGAATTTCCAAGGTTCAAAGAGGTTAAGTCACTTACTCAAGCTCAAGGCAGAATACAGACAGGAACAGAGTAGCAGAGGCACTTCTACCTCACCACAGCTGTCCTCAAGAGCTATGTGGGGAATTCCCTCATTTGTTCCACACTTTGAGCCTAGGAAGAGTTCATTAACTCTCAATAGCTTAAGTCCTGAATTCACCTCAGGACAAACCCAGAATAAATCATATTATTTTATGGTCCCTTCATGCATATCTACTTAATGTGAGGCCAGAAGGCATTTTCCTATTACTGCTCACAGAGGGACTGCCTTCCCTTTTGTTATGTCCATCTTTTCTCTTCACTAGTTGTGCAAGAGAAGCACGGCCCTCTATAAAGGGTTCTAGCCTCGTCCTTCTAAATGTCAAGGGGTGTGCCCTAGATCAGTCTGAAGAAAAATCTGTCAATGAATTTCCAGTATTGTGTAATAACAGAATGTGACCATGAGCATCATAGTAGTAAAGAAGGACATTTTGCAGGCAACTTTATAAAACTACTGGGAAACAAAAGTATCTTGAAGAGGACTAGTAAAACATAATACCTGAAATATAACTTTGGGTGGTCATCAATTAATATTACCATGACCTGTCCTCTTTCCTAATCCTTACTCTCAAGTTATACCAGCTATCCAGTATGTCTCCAACAATAATCAAAGATGTGAAATGAGCACTGAGGGAACCAAACCCAGAGGCAAGTTCATGAAGACTTAATGATAAAAGGGTCTCACATTCTCTTAAAATTAATGAACAGGTAGAGAAATAATAGCTAGCATTTTACAAAATGACAGTATCAAGGAAGTTATGTCTAGTCTCAGCAAGCTATGTATGTCTTCCTAAGGAAAATATCTGTGGCCTTCATTACACAGGACATAGCAAATTAGTAATTCCATCGGGTTAATATCACAATGCATATCACACTGTTTACTAAATCTTAGAAAAGTTGAATTAAGGATCCAGTTAAGGAATTATGGATTTACATACCTGTGGAACCCATCTGGAAGACACGAAGCTGGTCACTTCTATAACGGACAAGCCAGTTTGGGAAAGCTGATTGATAAATTCAATTTTTATATCTGTAGGAACTATAACCTATGAAAACATTATAGATCATTTTATAAGTAATTTGTATAGGGCCTATTGAAACATTAATAGAAAATTACTTCCTAACTGAAAGCAAATCCTATCTAAGATTTATAAATTCAAGTATCAATTGAGAACAAACATAACATGTAATATACAAAATCCATGTAAGTCTTTAGAATCATAATAAATATTAATATTTAGATTTAGCATTTGAAATATACTGTGTAATACTAGTATCAAACTACCTTTTCATTCTGCAATCCATCCCTTGGTCCAACTTCTACTATTTTAACATACTCAGGGAGTCCAGATAACTGGGAAGATTCCTGAAATGGAAAATACAAAGCAAGAAAAATAGACAACTGTTAGATCATCAAACGTGCTGATCTGAAAAGTCAAACAATTACACTTTGTTAAATTAAGTAAGAAATCAAGATATTGATATAATCCAAATACCAAGTTCACATTATTGGCAGCAGGAGGTCATTTTTTCCTTATAACTCAGTGATCTTCAGTCCACAAAGATCTTTAATCTTTGTGATTAAACTCAAAAAAATTAATTTCTAAAATATAACTGCGGAAAAAGTACCTTACTCAGGATCTAAAGAGCAAATCTACTGAGTAATTCTAGATGTGATGATAAAAGTGACCATGGTCAGAGTTCATTAAAAAATTAGATCGTTGTATTAACAAACTTCTACCAGGCATGGTCACACAGACGCCGCACTCCATACCCTGAACTTGAAGAGTGTGGATCTGGTTTTCTGGCCTGTGCCCAGAAAGCTGAGGCTAGAGAAGAAGGTGTGCTGTTTATTTCTTTTCTGTGTCACATAGCACAACTAGCCCCTAACACAGCTTCCTGAAGGACAGACCCTCCAGTAGCTCCTAATCCTTGATATTCCCCTTGGAACAGCCTAGCTCCAGCCCATTGGAACACTCTGTTCTGCCTTTTGCCTAAATCTGAAATGACAGGGGGTCTGGACTCTGGAACCTCTGTCCTTAAACTAAGTGCTATGGATATACCATAGTTAGAAGGACACTGGTTTAAAACAGGAAAAATAGGAACAGCCTTTCTAAACTCCATATTGCAGTTAAAATTAGAAGTAGGCTACACCTTGTCAGACTGTATAAACCATCTCCTGATGGGTTATAACCCAGTTAAGTGTGGGTAACCTGTCATCAAGGTCTTCAAATGGACAGCTCATGGAATCCATCCAGATCAGCAGGACCTGTACTTAAAAGGTATTGAAAGATCTTTTGTCTTGCCTTTCATCCGGATGATGGATTTGGGCCAACCAATTCATATTGTCTCACTCTGTCCTTGTAACAATCACTGGCTGACACTGGTGACGTGGCTATTTTGGATGCAGGACCCAGTTTGTTTCTATGACACAGAAAAATACTGGCCCCTTTTGAGGCCATAGCTTTTATTTGGTGTTATTAGCATTCTATGCTAAAACTCAGCAAAAGAACCCAGATGGTCCCTGTTACAAGGTTTACATACCACCCTTCACAATTTCCATGAAATTGGGCAATTCAATAAGCAAAAATTAATCAAGAAGGAAAAGAATTCTCATTTCTGCATCTTCTGAGGAGGCTGTGATGTATGCAGTTGGGCAGGGTGGGGTTGAGAGAGGAGGTATGGGGTCCCTCATCTTCAGGCTCAGTTTTGGATGGCAATCATGAAATCGTGCCTCATTTACAGAGTGGCCATAATATCAACCAGGCAATAAGGGAAGGAATGGCATGGAAAGGGGGAGTAAATAAGAGAAGCTCACTCCTCTTTCTTATTACCTCCAGTCCCAAGACTGCAGAAACGAAAAAGCAAAGCAAAAACAAAACCAGGCAATCTTAAGGCATGTGGTCTCATTATTGCTGATTGCTTCCCAAAACTGCATTTTCAACAGCAATTAGCGTGGGGCATTCATGGATGAAGAGCATTTCTTTAAACAGCAAAGTTTAACCAAAAAAAATAGGAACATGGGTTTTTTAAGGTGACAACAATATGCTGAGTACAATTAAAGAGTTTGGGACCTTCCTTGGCATCATTTGTAGTTAGCAGAAGTAAAAAAAAAAAAAAATGTGAAGAAATTAAAGTATAAACCACTACCAGTGTTAGCCGTTTCAGTCAAAGCAGAATATGTGCTCACTTGATATTATATTAGATTTCTTCTTGAATCTAACGTTACTATTTTGTCTTTCTAGACATAGGTATGTATTCCCTTTACCTGAATACCTGAGAAATCAGAAGAAAGTTAAATGTGTTCAGTAAGTTCAGAGTAACAAGTTCTCCTTTTTAACAGCAAATAAATAAATAAGTAATAAAACAAAAATAAAGTCAATTAACACATACTTATTGATTATGTAGGATGTGAGAGCCCTCTCTTGGTGATCTTTAGTCTCTTTCTGGGCATTACTATCTCTGTATTGACTTTTCTAAGGAGCTTCAGCTATACATAAACAATGCCTACTGGGAAAATCCACTTAAATGTTTAAACAAACACATAGAATTAAATAATTCAAAACTGATCTCATTATTTCCCCACCTCACGCCTCTCCTCAGATTCCCCCACCACATGCTATTCTTTACCTTCTCTCTTACCACTTACATCTAATTGCTCCATCTATTACTGGTTCTATTTTGGCACATACCCAGCACCCAGTACAATGCACGACACTCAGACTGTGCTCAATAGTTACTTGTTGATTGTACTAGTGGATCTCTTGTCACTGGCTTCACTAAAACTGTCATTTTTTTTCTCATCTAGTCTGTTGCTATAGCGTCCTAAATATTCTCCCTAATCTTGTTCTTCCATGATTAAAAATCCTTCAGCATTTACCAGTCACCTTCAGAGAGATCTATCAGTCTAAGGTAAAAGATGATTCATGACAAGCCTCTCATCTTCTACCACACTCTACTTCACGCAGCCTCTGATTTCGGCCGTGCTAAAATCATGTCTTCCTCACTTTCATGTCTGTCTACATGAAGTTTCTGTTGGCTGGAAATACCTTACATCTGTGGGAAAACCTTTCCACCAAACCCATTTCTCTTCTTCATGGACACAGGACTGGACCACATTTCTCCCCTATCTAAGAACTATGTTTGAACAAGTTCCAGACAATGGAACATAAAGGTGAATGACATGTACCACTTTTAGGCTTGGCCCATGAAAATATCCCACGCACATTTCTCCATGCTCTTTCTCCTTCAGCCAGCTTGATGCAGATGAGTATGGCAAACTTGGAAGCTTAGATAAAGACAAAGAAAATTGAAGGGGCCTACATCCCTGAATCACTGCTTATGTAAGAATTCCATGCCAAGAAGACGCAATCATTTTGTACTTTATATTGACAAAAATAAATGTCAACTCTTTTAGACCATTGAGATTAGAGGTGTATCTTTTATAGCTACTAACTGTGAAGAATGTTAAAGGGTCTGAAATCTTACCCTACTTGCAAGCTAACAAGTGAGCCTGCAACGGATGCTGGTGGAAGGCACAAGACTCCTGGGTCAGAGAAGAAAAAAAGCCTATCACTCACAGTAATTGCAAAAGCTAGAGGATCAGGATTTGTGCTGGTTCCCCAAACCCCAACTCCCCAAGCAGAAGCAAAGAGGACCACATGACGCTTCCACAGGCAAAGGACTGCATGACAGGAAAGGAACCCAAGCATAGTGAACCTGAACCTTTGGTAATGGGCAGTAAGCATATCTTCCCTTGGCAATAAACATTATTATGTTTATTATGCTTGACCATAAGCATGCCTGCCTTTTGCTTCAGAGGAAGACGCTATCTCTATCATCCAAGGCTTTAAGTACACTTAGCCTTTGCTACAGAAGGAGACATTATTTCTATCATTCAAAGCTGTCTCCCATACAAAAATTCTTGAAAAGAGGGCGCCAGCCCAGTGGCGTAGTGGTTAAGCTCGCGCACTCCACATGGGTGGCCTGGGGTTCGCAGGTTTGGATCCCAGGAGCGGACCTAGGCACTGCTTATCAAGCCGTCAGGCGTCCCACGTATAAGGTAGAGGAAGATGGGCACAGGTGCTAGCCCAGGGCCAATCTTCCTTAGCAAAAAGAGGAGGATTGATGACAGATGTTAGCTCAGGGCCAGTCTTCCTCACCAAAAAAAAAAAAAAATTCTTGAAAAGATAGTCTGGAACAAAGGCAATTGTGACTCTGCTTGCAAGACATACAGAAATTCAAGACAATTGTAGAAAATTATTTCCGAATAATATCCGCTCTTCATTTTTACGCATCTTGATTTATGGCAAATGTTTCCAATAATTAAGCCACTCTGTCGGCCCCTCTGATTAACCTGATGAACAGACACTGGGACCAAATCTGTTCAATTTATCTCATAAAACATTTAACTAAGGCTATGCTCAACAGAACTCCAAATAGCAGGATAAAGTCAACCTACAGTATTGACTTCAGCCATGCCCCTCCTCCCAAGGGTCCTGGATACAACCAGCTGAACAAATTCCATGCAGTAGTGGCCTCTGCATCAGAAACTAAGAGTTGTTTCTTTGTGCCTATTTTATGATGGTGGATGTTGCCATGTTCACCACTATGATGGACCAGGCAGCAGTGGTGGTGGTCCAGGTGATGGAGGCTTGATCATCAGCTTGATTCCAGTGGGCCTCAACAGAGTATGGATCTCGGATGATTCAATCAGAAGATGTGATTTGTTGCCACAATTCAGAGCCCCCCCCAAAATGTGTCTTTAATCTATCAGTCTGTAATTTTCCAAATGGCAGACAAACAAGCTAGGCCATTGACCACAACCCAAGAGTCAGTAAAAATATGGGAATGGCCTCACATTCTGTTGAGTAAGGAGAGCGATCGCATCCATTTGCAGTTCTGCACAGCTGCTGCAGAGGGTGCACAACTGCAGCAGCCCAGTAGACATCACCAGGTCTCAGCTTAGCCAAAACATCATCTAACCAGGCCCAGGCATTAGGAAACGCTTTGGGAACAGAAGGGCCCCATTGGGCTGGGAGCTCTGTTTTAGGCAGTGGAGCAGCAGCAGAGGTCAACTGCCACTTTTTTTGTGTAAAGCTGAGACTGCACTGGGGACAGGCTGACCGCGTTCTTGAATATACCATTTCCATTTGATCAGTGAGGCCTGTTAAGACTGTCCTACCTTGTTAGTCACTGAGTCCAAGCTGACCCCCAAAAATGGAAGTAGGCCAGAGAGTCACAAGGCCTGCATGACTCAGGTATCCAGTTTCAACACGAGCTCAATAGCAAGCTAATAGCTGATTTTCAAAAGATACCTGGTGGCCGTGGCAGGGAAGTAAGTGAGGGGTCCAAAACCCCAAGCAG